ACTTTAAGTTCGCACCTTGTCTGATGGTCCATTTTCGTTGCGCAAAAATTATGTTGTGCGTGAAATTTTCAAGAGGAAACACATATCGGAGTACTTAAATTAGTAGTTTGTCTAATGGTCCATTGTTGCTGAGATTCGCATCCAACACGGCAATGCTAGTAGAGCATGACGTTTAATCCGATTGCTGCACTCGCATGCACCAGGGCAAGTCCAAGATTATTGTCGGCCCCGGGCCAATTGGAGGGGAGAAGGGGGCACCCGAATTCTATCGTTAATCGGTTAGCAATGAATGCGACAGGAAACTGCTTCCGTCTGATTGAGAAATATTCCTGGCGATAAGCGTGTGCATTTTTCAGTCGATTTTCGAGTAATTCCGCTCACAAAAACTGCTGTTTTTTCTTTATTTTTTTTTTATCACAGAAGGGAGGTTAAAGGGCCGGACTTACTTACTTGCCGCCCATGGGCCGCCTGTATTTTGCCACCCCCTTCTCATTCGTTTTGAAACATCAATAAAAACCATCAAGTGAACGTGCCGGAGGGGGAGGGTTGCATAAGACGCGTTTACTCGTGTTGGACACATTTTTTTGCGAAAGCCTTGTCAACACTACTAGCAAAAGTTCACGGAACTCGGCGCGAAAGTTAAGTTCCGTAAACCTATCTCTGTGCGGACAAGGCCTTCCATTTAGATGAATTGAACGAAAAAATTATGAAAGAACAAACGTAAATGTGGTTTAATAAGTTTAACTTCCACCGCCGCGCCGCACTGTGTTTGGCGCAATGCGTGAAGTATTCCTACACTCTTGTACGCGGTATGCGTTTCACGCCGACCGCTTCTGCACGGCCTGTGTTTGACGCAATGCGTGAAGTATTCATGCAGTCTTGTAGGCGCTATGCGTTTCAAGACGCCCGCTGCTGACCGCAGCGACCGCACTGTCTTTGACGCAATGCGTGAAGTATTTAGGCAGTCTTGTAGGCGCTAATATGTGTTACATGCCGACCGCCGCCGCGCCACGGGTTTCTCCTTTTCATTTCAAGTTCTCTTATCATTGCTCTCTGCGCCGCGCCGTTCCAAGCCAAATTCCGTGTTCGGTTTCTCTCTTAATCTTAACTCAACTAATTAAAGGTGCTGTCTATTGTATCACAGAAAGACGACAAAATTAGAAATATACTTTTGGGAAATGAGAGATTTTGTGATCTTTTCTCGTTTTTATTTTTTTTCTGAATCCGATTTTTCTTTATAGCTACATTTGAAAAAATTGCAAAATTTGCCGCTCCCTAAATTAGCCGCCATAGGCCGCAGCCCATGTGGCCACCCCCTGAATCCGGCCCTGGGAGGTTAGAGGGAATCATTTGACTATGACGATATTCAATTTAGGGTGAAGTGTGCCTTAAACTTCATCTCACTGATTAGGAGTCCTCGTGGTAACGTGTTATCTATAAAGTCATTAGATTTTTACAAGAGAGAGAGAGAGAGGAAAAAGGCAAAATAAGAAGGGGGAAGAAAACAGTTAAGCTTACGATTAATCATATAGAATGCACAAATTGGCGCATGCTTCAAGGAGGGGGAGAGAGGGAGGGAGAGAGCGGGAGAGAGAGAGAGAGAAAAAAAAAATTAAATAACTGTAGGTACCACAGTTTGAAAGGGTACATTCTGCATCATACGCATGTCGTAGAGAATACCCGCAAAATCCAAAAATTGAGCCTTTGGCAGCAATCTGATTATATAAAACGGAGAACCGCCAGTTGAAAATTTCCGAGTGTAAGTTCTAAATCAAAGATTTCACAACAAAAATTGCAAATACAACTTAAGTCGCGAGAACTGAAGCGCCACCTCGTATTTTACCGTTGCAAAACATCGCTCCCTGGCAGTGACGTAGCTGGATGTTTTCTTCGATGGGGAAAGGGGGTCTCCAATTAAAAATTTCTCACAGGAGGGAAAGGGGTGGAGCCGAAGGTAGGTATATATTATTCTTGCAAGTCACAAAAATTGCGTTTTTGGGCAGACTTTCCGGTCAAGGGAAGGCAATGGCGTAGAGGGGGGGAGGGGGTCCAAGAANTTAATAGAATGAAATAATTTTTGGTTTTGATGAATAAAGAAAAAAAAAAATTTTGAAGTCAAAAGGACGCGTTTTGGAATGACTGCTTGATGAAATATTACAGTAAAACAACGATTAGTATAAATCGGATAATTATTAAGTATCTCTGGAGGCGGGGATCGAACCCACACCTTCATCAATGTGGACACTTCCGACGTCGCGTCATAGACGACTGGGCCACCGCTCGTCTTGAGGTAATCGGCGGAAATCTTGTGTAGATAAGTGTAGAGCTGATGCGCAGGCTACACACCTACTGCGCAACCTCCTCGACCACTGCGCATCCTCCCGCGCATAGCGGCAGCAGTCCCGGAGCATTCTGTAAAGTTACTCACTTTTATAACGTGATTTTGAAAAAGCCTGGGTCCTATTTCCAAAATCTAATTAGTGCGGGCACATCTAGGGCCAATTACCTGACGATCTACGCAAAAATCATGGAAATCGGCCCGGTAGAACGCTCAAACGAACTATGACAAAAAGTATAAATTTACATTGTTCTTATGGGAGAATTCGCAACTTCACCACGTAATATAAAAAAACCTGGTTCATATTTTGAAAATCTGAAAAGAGTTGGCTAATCTAGAGACAATTGCCCGTCGATTGCCGCAAAAATCATGAAAATCGGCCCGGTAGAACGCTGGAACTAAGCGTTACCAGTTACGCAAAATTAGGAGGTCTCGGAGCTTATAGTATAGAATAGTATAGATTATTCTTGCAAGTCACAAAAATTGCGTTTCTGGGCAGACTTTCCGGTCAAGGGAAGGCAATGGCATAGAGGGGGGGAGGGGGTCCAAGAAGTCCAGACCCTTCCATGCTGCTGCTATGCCTAGTCGTAAATCTATTAGAATGTCGTGGATCAACCTTACAAGAATATTCTAACAATTTATGGATTCATTTCAGAAACAAATTGACATATTTTAGACGTTCATCGGAGGAAAATTCGTGGAACATTAGTTCAAATTTTTAAAAAGGAGTATATCCAGCCCTTTAGTTTCCATTTTATTGAACATTAGTTCAAATTTTTAAAAAGGAGTATATCCAGCCCTTTAGTTTCCATTTTATTACACTCTGCAGACACATCATTATTAATAAGAGTAATCCAATTCTTCACGATAGGAAGAATAAAAGTGAGTAAACTCCTCCATTCATGATACCTCCTCATTGTGATTCTAAGTGCCCAATGTTTGCATACGCCGCGTAAACGCTATAAATGAGCATGTGGTCAAGTGATCGCAAATTTTATCTCTCCGATCAGTTTTTGGCGAGTCTCTTTATATTCGGCCATGTGCAACAAAATCAGTAGGCGCAACATACAGGACTCCTGTTTTGCGTGGTAGAACATTCGGGCGTATTCGAATGTAGGTCTAGGTTCGCATGTCTCGTTTTCTGCCTTGCAAAGGAAGAGCGCCGTATAAACCTGCAGACGTAGCCAAAATTTATTTGATAAAACAATAATTTGGTTGGATACTTGTGAGTATTTTTCTCCCAATTTTTTAAGAAAGCCTTTTTTCAATTTGTGATGTAAAGTATTCAAAAATTGCATGGAACTATGTGCGTAACACTCCTCAAAAATAGATATTTTATCGGGGGAAATGCGTGGCAATCTCCGAAGTTCATACAATGCTTTTCGTCAGTCGTATCCGGCAGAGGCTTCGTGACAAAACGAGATTCGATGCAATTTGCGCGCCCTTTCTAACGACCTTTAAAGACAAGGTCATTAATCGAGGCCTTTTTGCATTTTGATAATGTTCCTCCTGCTAGAAATACCAATTTAAGTGATTGATATTTATTGATTGGGTATTGATTTACTCTTCAGTGTTGTTGTCATATTTGACGATTACTGTATCAAAGTTTTGTTGATTTTTTGCATGATTAATGAGGCTTGAGATAATCGGCAAGGGTGATTATTTCTTCGGATCGCACTTATTATATGGGCAGCCGTCCAAAAATTACGTCACCCACCCAGGTGGAGGGTAGGTCTGGGCTCTGGGGTGAGTGACATATAGGTGCCACCGATGGAGGGGGGGGGGGGGNTCATGAAAATGCAAAAGCGTAGCATTTCTAAACATGTTCAAAAGAAAGGAGAAACCTCTACTTCAGAGACTTAAACGATCGGTTAGAAAAGTAGAACAGTAATTTGCGTATACGTTTTATGAGAATAGAACAAATGGTGGTGCGCAACATTCTGGCTCTCGATTGGTGAGGGAACCTTTACTCCAGGGACTTGAACGATCGGGTATGAAAATAAGTAACAAGGTAATTTTATACTTTGTTACGACTTATCTTATCTTAAATTATTTAAGAGTGACTGGCGATTTGCACATAAATGTAGTTATTTTATATTTAATTGAATAATTTAATTCTCATTTTACTTTTAAATCCAGTTTCATTAAATTATTTACATAATTAATTGATTAACTTCACAAAAACGTAATCTATACTTCAAATGTATGATGATCATGTATTGACTTGAGTTACTAACGGAGTATACTTTGGGAAAACTGTGAAACTTTAAACGTTCATAATGAAAGAAAGGAGTGGATTTTATACTATTCCTATTTCCACGTTATATTCGGGTCATTTTCTACACCTATGGAAAAGAGGTAGAGGAGTTACGCTTGAAATTACGTAATTTTCAGGAGGTTCTGGGGGTGAGTGACATGTAAGTGGCAAAGGACATGGAGGGGTAAAAAATTCGGGGAAAATGGGATATTTAATTTATGGACGGCCCCGCAATAATTGTTCAATTCATGAACCAAAGGTATTCTTGTGTTCAGTTCACTCAGTAGTTTTCTCTTAAATACGAAATTCATCAAATTTCAGACACCTGCAAATTCTCTATTTGCATATTTTTATCCTCCACAAAATATAAAATTCTATTAATAATAATTTGTGTGCTATTTTCAGGTTATGGGCACATAGCGCCGAAGACACCTTACGGAAAAATCACGACGATTTTCTACGCGATTGTTGGGATTCCGTTAATGTTAGTGTGTCTCTCCAACATTGGTGACATCATGGCTCAGTCCTTCCGATTCTTATATTGGCGGGTTTTCTGCTACGCCTGCACCCGTCACCCGAAAAGACCTGCCTATGGACGCCGTCCCAGAAGCTTGAGGGGCACCGTCCGATCTCATGGGTAGGAGCCATCAATTTGGATCACAATTCTAAAATCTGAGCTATTAGCTATTGAGAATTTGTATTAGCTAATATTGAGGATTTGAGGGGGTGAAAAAAGTGATTTTCTTCTGTCCCAAATCATCAATAATTCAGTTAAATTACATTTTGTCCTATGTCCTATGTCCTATGTCCTATGTCCTATGTCCTATACCGCGTTTGGGTTTGATCATGTATTAAGAACTTCCAATACTTAAATGAAGTTTATAAGCCAATGAAAACCTTAGGTAACACACAGCCCGACAAAATGGAGAAGATTAATAAAGTTTAGCACAAGATAGAATTTCGCTCTCATTTCATTCTTCAAAAGCATGCCCTAGTAATAGTGAATCAGTCGGACATCACGCTATGTTTCATAAACTACCCTGAGTCAGACTGATGTCAGCCTGAATCAGTCAGACTCAGGGTAGTTTATGAAACATAGCGTGATGTCAGGCTGACTCACTTTTACCAGGGGTGTCGCGCTTGGACGACTTATTTATGGGCATGGATCTGGATATTTACGCAAATTATTGACCACTGGACAAGGTGCGAATCTAAGGATTTTAGAACAAATCATCTCTTCAAAAGTTCACATAGAACACAATTTGCGCGATGAAAATTACTGAAATCAACTCTTAACTAGGATATGAACGTCTTTAGTTGGCATTGGTTACGAGTCCACTGGAATCAATCGCGTACCACCTACAACGCTTTTGGCAGGCTTCTCAGTAAACCGTTTTCCTTCCTCATCCTGTGTTTTCCAAAATGTAGACAATGTGCAGTAGCTGAGCTGAGGCGCCGATATTGAGCTAGACATAATTTTGTACCGCAGCGACCGTTACGGTGATAACATTAAGTGCGCGATTTTTTTTTTTTTTGATATAACATATTTATTAGTTTAATTACAAGTTACAACCAATTAAGACAGTAATTGGCGAGAAGGCCTATAGTATACAGTCTAATAAGATTAAGTGCGCGATGTGACTCGAGTAAATGTTCGTTTTTTCATGGGCGGGAGGGTTGAATTTACGGGTCGTAAAACATTAAATATCCTATTAAATAGTTGATCTCAGTGTGGTTGATCAACGTGTTTCATGTGAAATTTTGACGAGGAATCGTGTATCAGAATGCTTAGATTCGCACCTTGCATGTCCAGTGGTCCAATGCCGCAATTTTTTTAGAGCATAGGAAACTTAAAAATATTAATTTTTTTTCATCAAATGCTCCTGCACTAAAAAAATGTTATATGAGTGGAATAGAGCAGGTTTAGTAAGTTATGACTAACTGTTTCAGCAGCCGATCAGGGAGAAGTAGAACAGCATCGTTCAGGCGCTCGGGAAGGACTTCGCACAGGTCTGCCGACAGCGCCCTTGGCATGTCTGAAAGTTTTACTCGGTCTTCTTACTCGGATACAGAATGCAGGTAACTTCTGAAACACCTGGGATTTCCCCAATGTAAGTAGGACGTAGGTCTACTCTTCCCCACCGATGGCAGGACGAGTGCGCGTGCCCTTCGATCAGTGGCGGGGCGTGAATTGCGATGTATCGATTGTTATGCCATTTACACCTGTGGAAAAGGATCGATAAACAGGGTGTTTGCAGCGAACACCTTAATAATCGATTCTTTACCATAGATGTAAATGGCATAACAATCGATACATCGCAATTCACGCCACGCCACTGCCTCCGATACTTTTGCGCTGAAGGTGGTTAGAAAATAAGATTACATTTTATTTGATCCCCCTTCCGGAGGACATTTTCCATGCCACACTATGTGGTCCTTATATTCGTGAAACTTCCTGCCTGGAATGCTTCAGCCACTTGCATATCGCGGAGCAGGGGTTCTTATAATTGCATAACAAAAACTTATCGCTTTGTATATAGGTATGGCGAAACCAAGATTGGGCCAAATGTATAGTGCAGCAAAAAATAACACAATCAGGAGAAACATGTTTTACCGCTTTGTGCGCAGCAGATTCAACCTTCCTGAATCCTTATTGCTGATACACCTCAATTCCAGCTTGTTGCCAATTTTCTTCAGAAATTCAGAATTTTCCTCAACTCGCACAAAAGGGCTCCCTTTTCCCTCGCGCAAAAGTCCTTCCATTTTTATCCCTTTTACGCGAGGCTCGCGCAAAAGGGTTGCCTCTATTCCGATCAGACGATGGTTAGGATGAGCGTGCCTATGTTTTTCTAATGTTCTCCTGGGACAATCTCCATGATTTTTGTTGCTATCGACAAGTGACCCCGCTCTAATCAGATTTCGGAAATATGACCCAGTTATTCGCATAATACGTGATAAAGTGATGAGTTCTCCCATTGAAACTATATTTCCATGTTTGCTGTCAGAATTCGTTCTAAAGATACTCTGTCGATGTTGATGATTTTTGTGGCTATCGAATACCATCAATACTTGAGAGTGGGGCACGGAGGGAGCAAAGCAACCTCAGAGAGTGTGGCCGCGCAGCGGCTAAGGGGTGCACTCTCTAGAATTACTTATAAGCGTGCACAACAAGGCATTTAAATAGCCTTTTCTCTTTTGCTGGCGGTCCAAGCTGCAACTTCAGTGATATTGTGCATCATTTTTCACCTGAAAATACATTAGATACCATGAGTTCATAAGCGTATGCGCTATTGTATCACGTCAAATTGAAGGCGATTTTTAATCGCATATTCATTCGATGTCTGTTTCAGGTATTATGACGAGGCGGAGAGGGAGGCGGCGATGTTGGGACCAGGGGGTCGCCCTTTCCGACCCAGCCAGCAGTCGCGCCACTCAGATCTGGCTGCCCATCCCTCCACTCACCGTAATCACCTGAGAGGGGATCAGTTCCAGAATTTAGGTCAGTGCCTCCACCGATTGCTAACATTCCCGTCCGCACAAAGTTGGGACTTTCCGGGACATTCGGGGAGGGCTTTTCTCATCACAAGCTATCGTCCAAGCCACATTTGGACGTATTCTTGCCGAACGGAACTATGTGTATTAGACATGAGCCCTAAAACCCACAAGAATATATGCATAACAGGGTTCACGTCATAATGCACATAGTTCCGTTTAGCAGTAATACGTCCATTTCAGCAAAATTTTTGAGTTCTTCCAGAGAGGGATCCAAATAGGGATAGCCTCTTTTCTGTTCCTTTTAAAAAGTTATTTGGGTTACTTTTCTTTTGAGCAATTACCGTAAGCATAATCAAAAGTTTGTAAATGTTAGAATGAAGACACGTATTTTTGGACTATATCTATTGATGCACAACACTATGGTTGTATTTAATGTCTCAAAATTATAATAACTAACTAACTAACTAACCATTTTTTCTCTCTCCTTATTAAGGCGCAATATTAATATACGTATATCTGTAATTACATCGATTTCCAAAATACTTATTTAGAAGGAATCCATTCTCAGAGAGAAAAAATATTAGTCCTTAGTTTTGGAAAAACTTACATTACTGGTGGTTTGACCACGACTAAAGTCATGTTTCCTTTGATATATTTAGATGCATACGTACAATAAAACTGCAAAAATGCGTGTCTCAGTTGCAGTTTATCAAAATCTTTCGCACGTACTTTATTTTTTTAAGGAAGCACAACCAACAACCTAACAGCTGGCTTGAAATCTTCACAGAATATTCTTCACATGCACATAGAGAATAAAAACACCGAAGTTTTAAAGACTTGACCCTCAGTAGTTTTCGACGTAAAAAATAGAGTATGGCAGTAAGTCTGCAACGCCGCACAGTGAATCGAGTCAATAGGAGAGGTCGGACAAAATTTGGAAACTTTAAACGCTTATAACTTTGTTCATAGAAAACTTTTAGGTTCTAAAAGTGGCTCCATTGGTTTCCTTGTGAAATTTTCCTCAAGAAGCACCTCTTAAAGTCTGAAATATCACGAAATAATCATCAAAATTTTCAGTTTTAGCCAAAAATTTCATGTGCGACCTCCCTCATTGACTCGATGCACCGTGCGCCGCAAGTCGAGGTACGTATCTATTTCTGCAGTTTCACACTTTCACCATCTATATTTTACAGCTCATCTCCTGTCTTTTCAGATGTGGAGGCGTTGGACTTAGATGACTTACCACCGACCACTCCTCCGATATTATACAACAAGTATGCGCTGGATAGAGAAGACTCCAGACGTGGTCGGTATTTTTTTCTTTTTTTTCTTTTCTATTATTTTTTACTAAAATACGTATGGGGCTCACGCGCAGAAGTATGATCCGCATACTTATCATCGTAAAATACCGCAAACACCAGATCAGTATGGCTTAAGCCCAATTCACACTGTGAATCATGTGACATCAGTCACATTCAAGTTTCCGTCCAATTTTTCATCTACTTTTCGTTTCTTCGCGTCAGTATCACACTATCCAACTTTTCGATATACGACAAGTGGCATTCAAGAGTTGAATGGAACGTTTGATAATGGGAATTGGCCCTTAGGAGCTTTTTCAAAATCACATTGTTATGTGGACTACATTTTGCAATTTGGAACTATAAATTCTGGCCCGGGTTAAAAACAACGTATGTGCCATTAGTTTCCCTATGCACTTAAGTGTTTTTCCAGAAGTGTCAGAATTTATAGTTCCAAATTGCAAAATGCAGTCCATATGACACATGTTCATGGGAAAAGTGCGAAAACACGTATCTCTGTTTGCGACATTGCAGTCCTCTTGCCATACTTGATGATTTCTATGGAGAACTAATGAGCCCAATTTCTTGAAAACGCCTTTTTTTCTCTTTGGGCAGAATATTCTGTACACATTTCAAGGTGGGTTTAAAGTTTGCTTGTTTCCCTTCAAAATGAATAAAATAGGAATAGAAATTTTGAAACATCGCAGTAGAGATACATGGCTCCGTACTTTGGCCATCGATTCGTTTCATACGAAATTTAAGTTTGTATTGCAGGCTTTCTATCGCGGCATTCTCATTATGTAGCCGCTTTATACGGTCTTGATAGAAGTTACATTGTTTTTGGAACACGCAAGTTCATGGAAGTCAAAAACCATGTTTTAATGTTTCACATGGGATCAAGTATTTGCAAGTATCGCACAAAGGACACATTATTGTGGGAACCATCTTGTGAGGGTCGTTTTCATTGGTATAGGGTACGCACAATAGCACAGCAAACAATTTCATGCAAATAACAGCAGCTCGAAAGAAGAAATAATCACCATTACTTATCTTCTCTATTCGGAGATAATTTCTTTTCAAGAAGAACACTCACGAGTACGTCGTTTTACGGACGTCGCCCGACGTAATTCCATTCCAAAGTTGCAAATTGACTCGAGCAGTACACGCATTTTTCAAAAATACGAGTATCCCTGTGCAATTTTTTCCAACATTTTTCTGATTTTAACATGAGATCTGAGGAGAAATAAGGGAAATTTCTACTTTCATTTGGAAACGCCCAAGCTTCTTCTGCGGTAAAAAAGGTATTTGGCAACATTGAAATGCAATTATGTTCTTTCGTGAGTGAAACGACAATTTAAACATATTTATGTTAAAAGGAACTATATAAGCAAACGATAAATGGAGTGTGCTCTTGGAGGCTGAGCAAAAAACAATGTAAAAATGCCTTCTGAAAAAATGGAAAAGCAGGATTTTCAATGAAATCAGAAGGAACTGAGCGCTAACTCGTGAGCTGCGGCTGCGGGCATGCGGGCATGCGTGACAAGAGCCTTGTGGACAGGGCTCATGAGTTGAAGACCGCCTTCCCGATCGTCGTTTCTCTCGTCGTTGTCGCTGTCGCTGACGTCACTGGCACTCTATAATTCCCATTCATTCTTATGGCCCGAACACTAACGAGCACACCCCATATTTCCGCTTCCACATAGTTCCATGTAGCATAAATACGTCCAATTCTCGGTCAAGTGACGCTTTTTTCAACTGATTTCCGACCTGAGATTTTATTTTCAACACTTGCAGCGCGGCCACCACAAAATATGCGACATTTCCGAAATCAGAAGAGATCGCCGAGAGATGCGGACTTCCGTTCTTCCTTGCCTCCGTCACAACGTCAACATCTTTCTGTGGAACCGGTTCCGCTCCAAAGGATGTCTCCCAGAGCTCGAGGTACGTTTCAGAACGTAAAACAGTAGTGGCGTCAACAATCGATTTTCGATAGTTCCCCATTTGAAGCTATAGTAAAGAATCGATTTTTAAGGGGTTCGTTACGAACACCCTGTTAATCGACCATAGGTTTAAATGGTGGATCAATCGATATATCGCAAAGCACGCCACGCCACTGTGAAACACTACTTCCAGCCTGTACGTTCTACGGCTCAACTTAAATCCTACACACTTTAGTGACTATCCGCCACCTCCTGCAGCTTTTCCTGCTACTACCTGTCCGCCCCGTGCAACCCCATGCGAAAGATAGTGACTGGAGGTGGCCGATGGTCGCATCAACTTGACATCCGCTGTGCGAGCTGGACCATTCGCAGCGGATTCCACCAAAGAAATGTTGAAAAGGAACATTACCTTGATTTTTGTCTACGCTCAAAATGATTCGACGCTTGCCATTTTTTGTATCAGAGCGACGTGCGATATATGGCATCGATTTGTTCCACGATTTCAGCTACTTGTCATTGTTTTCGAAATTGAGATCGCATTTCATCTGTTGTCATGAGAATGAAGAACTGATGTACCTTTGACAAAGAAATTCAAGGTGGTAAAGGAGTGGTATTTTTAGAGGAAAAATATCGCCTTCGAGTGCAGTTTCGATATCAGTATCGATTGGGATATTTTTCCTCTAAAAAGACCACGTCTCTATTACGTTGAATTTCTTTGTCTTTGGTACATGAGTTCTTCAGTTTCATGAGAACAGAAGTGCGATCTCAAAATTCGCAACAAATGACAAGTAGCTGAAATAGGGAACTAATCGATGCGAGATATCGCACGTCGCTCTGGCACAACAAATGGAAACCGTCGAATCACCTTAACATAGGATTCCTGCCGGCTTATTCCTCAAAATACTTCATCATCGGTTCGTTTTTATTTTATGAACTCAGTAAACTGATGCTCAGAAGAAGGTCCCCTTTGAGACAGAAACATTCCCAAAGTTTGTTTTTCTATCTCTTACCGTTCAAAAGGTACTATGGGGGAGGGGGGGGGTACGGACTCTGGGGACACCCTGTATATTTTAACTCCTATGGGTGCAACTAGTCGGGCTTCATGGATGGCCGTGTTGCATATGCACGGGAGTGAAGGCGTTTTGACTGTCCAGGCACTCGCCGCGCCGCTTTACCCGTGGGATTGACTCATTTGCCGAGCCACTGAGCGCCGCTGGTGATGCGAATGCGATTAGCGTCGGATGTCAAAACGCCTTCTCTTCCGTGCGTATGCAACACGGACATCCAATGGAGACCGAGTAGTTTCATCCAGGCGTTATGATGAAATTCGTTCAGTATTTGTCGCATGCAACATCAACGAAGGCTTTGACTGTTCCTCTTACGCCTTAGCTTAATTCCAGCGTTAGCTGTTGTGCTCTTGAAGTTAACCACCACTGATTTTTATCGCGACATTGAATGGGACATGCCCACGGCACGTCCCATTCGTCCCATGGGTGTCGCGCTTAGTTGGCTCACAGTTCCGTTGGCTGAACTGGAAAAGCGGGATTTCAAGTTCTGTCAATCGGAACTTTGTGCACAGTGTATGAGCCGTGGGCATGTATCTAGAGCCTTGTGGACAGGGCTCATGAGTTAGTCGACCGCGGGAGAGGCGCGACGGCGTGGCGGCTTCGTCACTGACGCTTTATATTTCCCATTCAGTCTTATGGCCCGAGCACGAACGAGCGCACCCCATCTTTCCCCCTGCACATTTATAGTTCTCTTTGATGGAAATACGTCCATTTCTGCCGTGATAGCGAAGAGAGCCGTAGCAGGGCCGGATTAAAGGGGTAGCCACATGGGCCGCGGCCCATGGCGGCAAATCTATAGGAGGCGGCAAATTTTGAAATTTTTTTACGTATAGAAAATTCGAATTTAGAAAAAAAAAATTACAAACGAGAAAAGGCGACAAAATCTCTAATTTTCTGAGAGCAAAGTAATTTCTACTTTTGTCGTCTTTCAGTGATACAAGAGACAGCACCTTTAATTAGTCGAGTTAAAAGAGAAACCAAACACGCAATTTGGCCTGGAACGGCGCGACTTGGAGAGAAACGATGACGAGGGCTTGAGATGAAAAGGAGAAGCCCTCGGCGCGGCGATCGGCATGTAACACATATTAGCCCCTACATGACTGCACAAATACTTCACGCATTGCGGCAAACACAGTGCGATCAGCATGAAACGCATAGTGCCTACAAGACTGCGTGAATACTTCACGCATTGCGTCAAACATATTGCGTTCAGCAGCGGTCAGCGTGAAGCTCATAGTGCCTACAAGAGACAAGACTGCTGGAATACTTCAGGCATTGCGCCAAACACGGTGCGGTTTGCGCGGCGCGGCGGCGGAAGTTAAACTCATGAATCTACATTTATGTTTGTTCTTTCATAATTTTTTCGTTCATTTCTTATGAATGGAAGGCCTTGTCTACACAGAGATAGGTTTACGAGACTTAACTTTCGCGCAAAGTTCCGTGAACTTTTGCTAGTAGTGCTGACAGGGCTTTCCCAAAAAATGTGTTCAACACAAGTAAACGCGTCTTATGCACTCCTCCCCCGCTGGCACGTTCATTTGCTGGTTTTTATTGATGTTTCAAAATAATGAGAAGGGGGCGGCAAAATACAGGCGGCCCACGGGCGGCAAGTAGGTAAATCCGGCCCTGAGTGCAAAAATAAAGTTCTGAGGAAACGGGCCCAGAAGCTTCTGACCGGAACATTTTATTGAAAGAAGTCTCCGTTCTTTGTCAAATTGCCACTAATCGTCCGGAAGACTCCTGGAAATCGTGTGGATGATTTAAAATCGACTGATTTTATTTCCATTACTTAGAAAGGATATTTTTCATTTTCATGCTAGGTTATTGTTAGGCAAGACAGCCGTAAGTGCTATCTACTGCATGCTTTCGTGGTTGCGTTTTGGACGCACAACAAACACATTTTCAGGTTAGAAATTGGCAGAAGAGGGCGGCACTTTACTATACTGGAAAGCATTGTTTTCATTGGCTGTCATGCACCTGCGCCTGCGGCTGTCTTGAAAAAAACTATGTCATTTTTTGTGCACTTACGGCTTTTACATACGTCTCGTTTTCATTAAATTAGGATGAATTTTGCTGTTTTAGCTGTCTCAGTATAATTTCATCTAAAGGAGTTTAGACGAATTTTGAAGAAAACTCGATTTTGAAAATGTTGCACAAGCTCTCTTCGCTATGACGGCAGATTAGATTTGTGCGTAGAGGAAGAGTTTATCATTACTAACTGTCATAGGCTAGCTTTGTATAGATTAGTGCGGATGTTGGGTTTGCAGGCTATCGTGATGCCGAGCACCACCACGGCGGCCACCACGGACACCACCACCACTCGAACCCGTCACCGCGGATCATGTCCCCCCTGGGCTTCGCTGTGAACCGCCAGTCCTTCCCTCGTCGGGACTACGACTACTACTCCGATATGGAATTGGACGAGTACTATTCCGATGATTATTCTCAGGTATGCTTCCACTCCTCGACGCGACGGCAATGGAGCTCTCCCATGTGTCACAGCCATTTAAATATTCATTTCTGTGTGAAATTGTGCGAGAAACACGATGGGGCCACTCACTTTCTCTGAAATCAACTCTAAAGCTCATGAAAAGCTCTCAAAGTGGAGCCCGTAATGGAGGGGATATCCCACGCCACCCTGAGAGTCCACCTTTATTTTGAATTTATTGAATTGAATAGAGTTTATTTTTGCTATAGCGCAGAGGTATATAAAGCTTATAGACAAATAGGTAACAAAAAAAAAAACGATAATAAAACACCCACTAACGACACTTGGCCATTGTGTCGGGTGGTACCTCTTTGTTCGATTTTATTTGATTTTGTTTCATTTTTCCCCTTTTTTTGTCCCTTTTCCCCCTTCTTACTATTTTTTTTTTTTATCAAGACAAACTCTCTACACAAATGAGAGGGAGAAAATGCATGAGCAGGGTTGCCGTGTTTTCAGTTTTGGAGTCCGCGGACAAAGTGGCAATCCTGTTAATGTATTCGCTCCCTACCTTTGCGCAGAAAGTTTTTCATGATGTAATGTTGAACTCTCAGAGTAGCGTGGGATATTCCCTCCAGTATGAACTTAACTTTGAGAGCTTTTTTGAGCTTTGGAGTTGTTTCAGAGAAAACCAGTGCCTCCATCGTGTTTCTCGCGAACTTTTACGTAAGAATAAAACACTTAACCGCAAATCCCTCACACATGCAAGAGCTCCATTTCGACTTGGTGATGTTACTCAAATATTTCAAAGTTTCAGATCTATATTTCAGTGAAATGTTTCATGAAAGGAGATATATCGACAAGCCGCGTTTTTGGGCCCACCCTGAATTTCCTCAACTCTTTGATGTTTCGTCCATTGAAGGTCCATGTTCTACGGAACATATCATGAGTTGACATCTCCGGACTCTTTTCAGGATTATGTTAGGTCGATACATGGGTCTGTCGGCCGATTTTGGCAAAAAATGCGGGTTTTCCGGGCTTGCAGTCGAATGCCGAAAAATCCGCATTTTTTGCCAAAATCTTCCCTCAGCCTCATGCTCAGGCCAGTATGAGACCCATCAAGAGACCGACATTTTATCGACGTCGATTAATTGGAATATTATTGGATTAGATCGCGATCAGATTAATACGTGTGTTTAAATGAGAAAAGCCGCCAGATGACGTCACTAGGCGGTGTGTTTTCTCACTTTTAAATCTGTTTTTTCTACTATTTCCCATATCAGAAAAAATTCTAAAAAATACAGTGAAATCAGCTATTTAAGCACTTTCATACGGAAAAAAATGACTGTGCGCGGATAACCATCTTGGTTTTGTTAATTAAAAGTTGGTGCCGTATACATGAAAAAATTGATAGAATAACCAACGGTATTGTATTGTCCACAACGTCTTTAGGGAAATCAGTCATTTTCAATTAGTTGCTACTAGCTATTACAAATCTGTTCACCGAGACAAAATTGATGATAAACTGCTCCATCAGGTTGACTCATTGCACCAAAGAGTGCGCTTGCGCTTCACCTATCTTGTTTTTGGTTAATGCTACTCGGTTAAGTGGGCTCATTGAACTGCAGAATGCGTTAGTGCAAATTATAAACTTGTTGATTATGAAGGTTACCATCTCAGATAACTCAATTAAAGTATTTTGTTAGTAGTCTGCCCCGTCAATTTTTTACGCTTTACCAACATTGAGTCACCAAAGAAAGCAATAAGATATGGGCTGATTAGGGAAAGTATGTTGATAAATTTTCAAGAATTCATATTCAACCCACCTTGTGTGACTGATAGCGAGTAATGATATGTTCGTGGAGCGTACTCCTTTTCTCGTCCCTGGCTCGGGCGACGGTAAAGTCGCCGCAAAACTATATGACTTCGAGCAATTAATTATTCTTAACTCTGCTCGGTTTTTATGATAATTAAAGGGCATTTATTACAACAATTCAGAAACTCGGACGATGTTAAATTTTTCACTGATATAAAAAAAAAAACGGATTAAAACGAACTAAAATATTCATCAAAACCAAAAATTATTTCATTCTAAAAGTAAAGTATACCTCATATCGTAATTTTTGAGGGGAAAAATATAACTAACACTGATAGGAGGTAAAAATAGGGACGCTTCGCGGCCCATTGATGGCGCGGAGCGCCTTCAGGGGGTTGGACCGTGTAGCGGTCAGGGGGCAGGGGGCATAGCCCCCCAGTATTTGACTATTTGCCTAGGCATTTGACAAAATGCCTAATTTTACTATTTGCCTGCGACATATCGATTGCAGTTTTTGAAAATTTCTTTCCTCCCCCTTCCTCCCTTTGGCACCAAGTTTTACGAAAATCCGACGAGCAGGAACCGAAATAGCGTTTTAGGCCACGCCCGCCACCTTGGTTTTTCGAATTTTCGAAATTAGACTAAAAATTCGAATTTAATCGATGGAATGGGAGCCGATGTATCAATTTAGGCTACGTCCGCGTCTTAGATTTTCAAATTCAGAAAATTCAACTTGAAACGCATCATACCCAAAATCTAAGCTCAGATTCGGCTTCCTCGTGAAAAATCGATGATATTTCATGTATCATATGTTACCATAGCATAAAGAAAAGAGGGTAATCGTAGGCGTAAAGATTCTATCAAAGCCGGCCGGTATGCGGAAGTAGGCACAGAATCCAAACGTTTGAGCTACGCCGCCAGACGCCGGCGCCAAGCATTTGGTTCGTCCGTTTCCGAGAAAACAAACTTCTTCTTACTCATCAGCTGACCCACTCCGAATCACCCATGTTGCCACGCCGGACTGATATGTTAGAATCTACACGCCTACGTTAATCTCTTTCCTTCATGATATGGTGACATATGATACATGAAATTGCATCAATTTTTCACGAGGAAGCCGAATCTGAGCTTAGATTTCGGATATCATGCGTTTTAAGTCAAATTTTCTTTTATCTATTTTAAATCACTCAGGAAAATTTGCGGAAACTCATTAGAATAACAGTGTGTATTCTTTTAAAAACATTGATCAGAAATAAAACATTGAGGGTATTTGAATCCATTAATCTCCGAGATAACTTGAACACGGTTGTTCTACGACTTTTTACGTATGTTGTTTTCTTCCGCATTGGTTGTCGGCAGCGTAGTGGCCAAAGGCCCCTGGTACTAATAATAGTTTTCAAAATCAATTTCTTTCTACATATTCAAAATTCCAAGGAAATGGCAGAAATGTATCAATTGTTACAATGTTTTAACAATGTTTCTTGTCAATTGTATGCTGTCGTTAAGCTAAACATCCCAGGTTTACTAGTAGGCTAGGCATGCACTATATTTAACACCATGTCAAGGCTTCAGTACTTTAGAGGGGTAATTTTTTTTATCTTCTATTCTACATAATCTCACTTGTTCAAGTAAGTAGCCTGGGCTTATTTACCCAATGCTAGAAGCACTTTAGCCAATCATTAAAATAATCCTAGTTTGAAAATTTTGAATTGATTCTCGACATGAAAAGAAAAAAAGAAAAATAGATAAAAAAATGCAGTTATAAATAACAACGAAGAGATATTTAATGAAGTATAAAAATTAAAATGAAGTGACTGAGTTAAAGTAAAAAAAATACAAAATTGCAAAAAATAAAATAACGTAAGTAACGGTAAAATACAGGGAAGAAATAAAGAATAAATAATCAAAGAAAAATAATATTAAGTAAAGAAAAAACAATAAAGTAAAACATTAAAATTAAGTAAAGAAGCAAAGGAAAAAAAAATTAAAATAAAGTAAATAAATAAAAGTAAATAATCAAAGAAAAATTATATTACGTAAAGAAAAAAAATAAAGTAAAAAATTTAAAATGAAGTAACGAAATAAAATAACGTTAAAAAATAAAATGAAATACAAAAATTAGAAAAATGAATGAACCAATCTAAGTATGTAGATTGAATATCCTGGTTTTCCGTTCAAATCGAAGCTATGTACAGGTTTTTCGATCAAAGTTCTAAACATACTATATAGCTCAATCGTTAGGGTCTTCGGCTAGGGTATGATAGGTCCCAGGTTCAATTCCCGCGGTAGGCAAAAAAATTTGATAGGTCGGATACAACTCCAGCACCTCACAATAAGTACTGTAGTCTCATTTTACTCGATTTCGAAATTTATTTACGCGATTAGGTAACCCTTTTCCACCATCCCCTAGCTGCGAACCCCGACATTGCACACCTTTGTATTCAATTTTTTTAGCTGTACGTTTTACAAGAGAATGCTCCTCTTTATGGCTAAATCACAAAATATTAGGTTCTCCTTGCTTTCATGATTGATACACCAAACATCCGGATGGGTCAGTTTACCATCTTTGAAGGTCTATCTCAGCAACGCTGTGCGGGACGTCTACGGAGGACGGCGCGCCCGCCCAGCAGTGTTGGTGCGAATTACCATCTTTGTTGTCAACGCCTACCTAATCGCGGTTTGAGGTTCCTAACCATCATACATTTGTGCTCGTAGCAAAATTGTTCTCAGGGATCGAATCTGGGAATCCAAGATGGTAAATGTCACCTACTATCTGGCTATAAGCACCAAAGATTTTTTTCCGTGCAAATGAAGTAATAAATTTGCTTGCAAATTCGCCATTGAGATAAAATTTCGATTTTATCAAACGCGATTTTAAAGAGATAAAACTGCGACAAGATCGGGTGTAATCGCTCAGATGGTGATGATCCTAGCAATTTTATCGCCAAAAAAAAGGCCAGGAAATAGCAATTTAATTTGAAAATATCGCAATTCTTCCGTTGAAAAATGCTTTTTGGGCTGTGATTTTCGTGGGATTTTACCCCTTTGAAATTGATTAAGCAGGCTGTACTTATCTGTTGCGTACAAGACTTGGAAGAGACTCACCTGACGGTATGTTGATTTTTTCTTGATAGGCGAACCACATAAAGCCGGTGCCGATCTGGTTGTGCGTGTTCCTGGTGGTCTCGTACATAATCGGCGGCGCGTTCCTGTTCTCCGGCTGGGAGGGCTGGGGCTACCCGGACTCGGCCTACTTCTGCTTCATCACGCTGACGACGATCGGCTTCGGGGACTTCGTGCCCGCGCAGAACAAGAAAGACGCCGAGTTCAGCATCGCCTGCTGCTCCCTGTACCTCCTCTTCGGCATCGCCCTCCTCGCCATGAGCTTCAACCTCGTCCAGGAGGAAGTCATCAGCAACGTCAAGGCCGTCGCTCGGCATCTCGGCATCATCAAGGACGACGATGGTGACGATGATGATGACTGAGCCGAGAACATGTCAAAGTGGAAAAGGCCAACAGTAGCCAAGCCATAGGCATCGCCTAGCAATGGCACAGAATAATAGCTACCAGAAAGGTAACTGGCAGATCCTCCCGCAAGATCGCGGACAGTCACTTTTTCCAAGCGGACTTTCCTCTTTTTTCCCCGCGAAATTTAAAACGGCAGAAAGACGTAGGGTGAGAGCGGCCGGACTTGGCTCTTTTCCCCGCGAAATTTGAAACGGTAGGCTGAGCGGGGGTCGCGGGGATTGCAAGAATCGGAGCAAATATGGCCGACTGCTGCCCTTCTGGTAGCTATTATTCTATGGCAATGGGAAGTCGTGGCAGTCATGTCCAAACGTTGCCTATACGAGAATCGAGGAGGCTGTAACTACGATTCTGTGACGTCACGCTAGTGGATGAAACTCGGTCGCGATTTAACATGTGTTCTTATGGGAGAACGCATGACACATGTTCCTTTTGTGCTAAGATCTTTTCAGGGGTTGATCTGACGCAAAAATGTATAAAAACCTTTTTGAAAAAATATAAAATTTCACATCAGAAAACTGTCTAGTTGATAAATTACATTGTCTGATAATGAAGAAATAGAGGCTAATCACGACTAAATACCGAAAATTGTTATCCCACTAAGATTCAAACGCGCCGCTCTGATTGGTGAACACGGCGATTACTCTACTAGTTTGACGTCACGAAACCGAGTAGTTACGTCCTCTCCATTCTGGCAGGCAACGGTCCGAGGTGACTGAAACGTAACTATTTTCACCGACCCCTTTGCCCGAAACGCAGCCTTTTGTTCCCGGCGTCAGAGCCGCATGGACGAGATTTAAATTTCAGCAACTTTCCAGTCTTACCCGCAAACAAATATCCGTCCGTTTGCCTTTGATAATAATGAGCCAACAACCACCTCTCTAGAAGCAAATTAATTTTCATTCTTGACGAATTTGCTTGGACCGAATGTGTTGATCTTTATCGACGGCTAGCAGACGGTCATATATTTGTTTTTGGCCAAGACTGAAATTCAAATCTCGTGTCAGGACTTTGAAGAAGGGAACAAAAAGCTGCGTTTCGACCGAAGAGGTCGGCAAGTCCATATACGCACGTGCCACTTAGGCACATTGAGTCGAGCCGACTCTGATGATGACTGTAGCATATAGCTACACGAAAGAGAATATATTTTCGTTTCCATGGCATGCTACTCATGCTAGAGCTCGATTTTTATAATACGACCCAGCATTTAGCTGAGAAGAAAGTTTATCAGGCGACCAGGTTTTATTACCGGACAGCTTAAGGTGATTCGTCAAACTCAAGTGACGTGGCGGTCCAACTGGAATGCAATATGTCCCATCGATTAGGTTAAAAATCTCGGCGGTTTCGAATTTTAGCCAAATGAAAGGACGATAGCCCCTGCGCATGAGTCTAATGTATCGTTTTAAACCAAGAAACTGGCAAAATTTAGAGATATGAAAGCAGAATAGTGTTGGGAAAAAAACCTCGCATTCGATACAGAATTCGATAACTGCAACGAATGTGAAGTTTTGTTCCTAACACTATTCTGCTTTCATTTCTCTGAATTTTGCAAATATTTTTATTTAAAACGATTCTTTAGACTCGTGCGAAGGAGCAATCGTCCTTTTTTTGGCTAAAATTCGAAATCTGCCGAGATTTTTGACCTATTCGATGCGATCTATCGCATTCCTGTTCGACCACGTCAGAGAAGTTGACGAATCTCTTCAAGCATCGCAAATGCAGATGACACAGATGAGGCGAGACGAGTGGTTTTGAGTGAAATCTTGAGCTAACATGGGTATTCGTTCTAGACGATGGAGATGACGTTGAAGTTATTAAAAGATGAAATGCTATTTTCAGAGGCTTTTTCGACGAATTCTCAAAGGTAAAACGTAAACATGCTCTGGACGCATGCAAAAGAAGCAACCCATAATTTGGGCATCAGCATCATTGAGTGCATGCAANGGGGGGGGGGGGGGGGGAATAGTAATGACTAAAATAACGCAAATCAATCTCATAGTTTTCTAAAAGTAAATAATTAAAGCACAGAGTAATGATAAGACTGAACTACATAAAGAAGTTTACTGCCCTATTTTAAACGAGGAAATGACCGCGTGATCTCGGCAATGATTGATTTATATCAATGGCATGGCGTGCTTTGCTATGTATCAGTTGATCTGCCATTTAAATCAATGGAAAAGGATTGATGAACAGGGTGTTCGCAACGAGCACCTTAATAATCGATTCTTCACCATACCTTCAAATGGAGTAATATCGATCATTACGCTTTGCCACTGACTAATATCATTGTCAGATCAGAACCCGCGAATAATATGACTTTTAGCTTGTATTTCTGACACCCCCTCATCCCCCCTTCGCCTAGCTATTCAACAACAATCCATCGATTGATGGAATCTTATCGACAATTTTTTTAATGTTTTTATCAAATCACGAGTTTCGGTTCAATTTCAGTTTAATTTTGTTTAATAAAGATTAATTCAATGTGTTTGCAGATTCTCCGTCGCTTTTTTAACATTTTTTTTTTCTTCTTCTTCTTCTTGTCCAGCTCCTTTTTTATTCCATTTTTCTGTTCGATGTAAAAATGTATTCGATTAAACGTTTGGAAATTCCATTTACGCTTTCTATTTATAAGCCTTTCCTTTCTGCGTTAGAATTTTGCAACGTATTGATCGACACTCTATATTCTCATGCTAGGGAGAAAAGGTTCAACTAGGAGGAGCGCCAAACACGGACTCTGATTTGTTCACAGTAAATTGATTTTTTAGTGGTGGTAACGTAAGTACGCGTAGCGTTTGGTAAAATTGAACGAATGTTCTTTTATGAAGATAGATGCGCTCTTATTCAACGAGTTGAGGCTAGAAAGTGGCTCAAGTGTGCCGCCACTGGACTGGGCTGGAACTGAAACTGATGAATTGCTCGAATTGCCTTTAGCAACTATTACTGCTCCTAAGCCGCTCATATTGTCTACCAGCTTATTGAAGGCGAAACGGTGAGAATGAGTGGGACGTCCCTAATGTGCGCATGCGATGACAACCAACTAAATAATCAACCTCCTGCAAACAACTTGGCTCGGAAATCACGCACCTTTTTTTGCTGAAACATAAAGTCTAAAATTCTAAAAACATAAATTCTAAAGCTCAAAAAAGACGTTTAATCCTTAGACGCCCAAGACAGTACCCTCGCAAAGTCTCGAGTCGGGTTTCATTGACCCGTATCCTTTACTTTAACTTTGATAGTTTTTCAAGTATACATTACATACATATTTGTTATTTTTATGTTTTTGAAAGTAAGAAATATTTTCCTGAAATTTCCACCTTTTTGGTAACATACTGGCACTATCTGGGCCCTTCTCCTCATCCGCCATTTATGTAACTCCCCCAAAAAATTGATAGTAGGGCCAATTTGACCTATCTTGGGATTTCTAGAGGTAGTCGTAAAAAAAAAAAACTCTCCGGCACGACTCGACTCTCGTCAAAATATCAATTTTTGACGTGCGCCCATTAAAGCGCTCGAGAGGCCTCTCTTATTTTTTCCTCTTTTTTTTCCAAAATGAGTATTGATTTGGGCACATCGTGTCATATGTGTGATAAGCAAAGTTAACCTTAACTTGTCTCAATATCCAGAAATAAGAGACATAACGCGCGTTGATAACAGCGCAGAGATAGGTATAGCAATATGTAATGGACCACTAGACAAGGCACGAATGTAAGGATTCTGATACACGTTTATTGACCAGAATTTCACGTAGAACACGATTCTTGCATCAAAAATTACCGAAATCATTTCCTATGAGATATTAAGGTTTTTCTTTTACATTGGTTACGGGAAATTGGAATTGCCCGATCACACGAAACTCAATACTCTATGTGAGTCCAATCGCGCACTACAACGGTTTTGGCAAATTCGTAACTTGTTTAATGGTCCATTCAATCTAAAAAAGCAAACAGATAAAACTTTCCTAAATTTTCTCAGAAAAAATGTTTTAATCGGAGGAACGAGGTAGCAAAACACGGAGCGGTCGTGTCAAACTCATGTGAGCGCCTGCAAGACTGTAGGAATTCTTCACGCATTGCGGCAAACAGTGCGGTCGACATCAAACGCATATTCGCGCCTACAAGACTGCATGAATACTTCTCGCATTGCATCAAACGCAATGCGAGAGTAATTTGAGATAACTATTTGACTACGGGTATAGCTCATTGCCGAGGATTGAAGGCGGATCCCACTGTGAACACGGAACCTTAGGCGCGTCTGTCCGCGGCGCGGCGTCCTGGACGCCGCGGAGAGACGCCGATAATAATTAGGGCGTGTGCAGGGCGTGCGGCGCACACGGGCGCTAGCCTTTGGGGGCGCCACGAAAGAAGAAGAGAGGGGAAAAAAGGGGGGAAAAGGAAAAGGAAAAAAGGGAAGAAAGGACAAGGGGAAAAAAGGAAAAGGAAACAAGGTTGGGCAGTGAAAGCAAGGAAGAAGGGGGGAAATGGAAGGAAAAAGGAGGCAAGAAAAGTGAAAAGAAAGTCCACGAGAAAGGGGGGGGGGCATAAAAACCATAGACAAAATATAAAGAGAATTGCCGTCTAAAGGTAAATTTTCAGGACAAAAACTCCACCTGGTCCATAGACGGTCAGGCGCCCCTTGACCCTAAATTTGCGGCTGTACAGAAATACAAGAGTAGGCATGTAGTAAGGGAGCACCATAAATCCATCGAACAGGAGCCGACACAGCATTTTAGGCCACTTCCGCCATCTTGGATTTGAGAATTTTTAAAGATGGTAAAAATTCGAGTTTCCGGTCGAAAAATACCCTCAGACACCGAGTTTCAAAAAAATCCATCGAACAGGAGCCGACATAGCATTTTAGGCCACGTCCGCCATCTTGAATTTGAGAATTTTAAAAAATGGACTAAAAATTCGAGTTTCCCGTCGAAAAATACCTCCTGACACCGAATTCCAGAAAAATCCATCGAACAGGGGCCGAGATAGCATTTTAAGCCATTTCGGATTTTCGAATTTTAAATTTTTTGAATTTTGACAGACTTTGATTTAAAACGCGTGATACCCAAAATCGAAGCTCAGATTCGGATTCCTCGTTAAAAATTGATACAATTTCATGTATCATACCCGAGCATAGCGTGAAGGAAAGAGACGTAACGTAGACATACTGATTCGAGCATATGAATCCAACGTGGCAACATGGGTAGTGCTCAGTGGGTCAGCGGAGGAGGAATAATAAGAATTTATCGTGAGGAATTCCTCGGGACGAAACCGAACACTAAGCGCCGGCCGGCGCCTCCCCGTTCGGTTGTATCTCGGGCGACCCGACCGGCGCGGCGCGGCGGCGTGGTTCAAACGGGTAGTATGACAGAATCTATACGCGTCGTTAAACCTTTTCCCTTCACGCTATTTTAACATATGATACATGAAATCTCATCAATTTTTCACGAAGAATCCGAATCTGAGCTTAGATTTTGGATATTACGCTTTTAAATCTATTTAAAATCGTAAGAGAATTTACAGAATAGTCCTTGAAAATTGATCACACATTAGTGTTTTTTTACGTCATTAAACCTCTTTCCTTCACGCTATTCTAACATATGATGCATAAGATCTCATCAATTTTTTACGAGGAATCCGAATCTGAGCTTAGATTTTCGATATTAAGCGTTTTAATTTATTTAAAAAAGTAGGAGAAATTACAGAATTGTCCTTGAAAATTGATCACACATTAGTGATTTTTTACCCCGTTTTTCTTCTACGTTCACGTAATGAAATTAGATCAACAGTTGACTCACCGACTAGTCCAGCCTAACCCCCCAGAATCGGTCTAAAGGGCGAACGATTTTATCAGATAAGATAAGCGGTCCTAGTTTCCGGGCAATAGCGGTTTGATGGAAGCTGCGATGAGGAGAAACGGAAGATATGCGAAACTCGGGCGGATATTAAGTGAGAAACCAGGTAGGGGAAAGGCTTTCTTCCCGGAAAGTTAGTGCTCGGGCCAACTTACATGGTCACTGGAGCATTGTATAGCAGGTTGTGGGAAACTATTTTTTTGCAGCAACAACCAATTGGATCGCATTTTTCAAAAAGGAACTAAGAGCATTTCAATGTTGCTGGGATTGTGCAACTTGGGTAAATTCTTTGCAAAAAGTGAACTTTGCGACGGTAATTTTCGTCTTGAATTCATAGTTTATTGGGAGTAGAGGTGAAACTAGTTTAGATGATCGTTTATGTTTGTAAGGTTAGCAACATTGGAATGCTCTTACTGGGTCCCTGGTATACCGGGGCCCAGGTCCCGGAGGGGGCCCGTGTGTGCTTTTGCATGCAACCCTTTTTTCGTAAGTAAAAATGAAAAATTTACCTACCCTAAAAATTTCGCAAAAGGTGAATAGATTTTCAGAAACACGCCGGGGCACTGTAGAATTCTTCTTAAATTTTCAAAGAGGTATACTTCCTGGAAAATTTCTATCTATTTTCAAGATTTTCAGCACAGAGGCATATTTTCAGTAACTGCGTTCCATTTTCTTCCGTCGTCAGATGCTAAGAGTCTCCAGTCTGGGCATCTTCGACTTCAATGGCTCATGGCTCATAGCCCTTGCCATAGACAAACGAAGGGGGAGTCCAGGGGGGCCTGGCCCTCTTAGAATTGATAATAGTATCATATGCCCCCCCCCAAAAAAAAAAAAAAAAAAAAAAAAAAATTTTCCAGANAAAAAAAAAAAAAAAAAAAAAAAAAAAAAAAAAAAAAAAAAAAAAAAAAAAAAAAAAAAAAAAAAAAAAAACATAATTATTCCGCAGAAATAGATGGAAAAATTCTTTATGGAAGCCTCAAAATGCGTCCGATTAGTCGTTTAGATTCTAAAATTTCTCGGGGGATGCCCCTCGGACCCAACCTCGTTGCTTGGGGCCCGGACCTTAAATCTGGTACCAGGGCCCGAGATGGGATGTGGCGGGGTTGGGTAAATAAGTATATCTTAATTGCAACAATTCAGCAACTCGGACGATTTTTAAACGATGCAGCGATTCTGAAACTTATTGATTTGCGTAACATTAATTTTGGTATAATATTAAAAAAAAAAAGACAGTACTAACGAAAATATCGTGTTGAAATTTTTTTGTGATTTTATTTCAAATTATTCCGGACATTTCTCGGAAACTTAAAAAAAACTATGCGAAGTTTTTTTCCCCCAAAAGATGATCAAAAATAAAACATGAGTTGAGATTTGCAACGTTGCAATCGGAGAGAAGAACACTTTTTTCTCCATGCAGGCCGATATTTGAACTCCAACCATGGGTGTAGGCATATTTGCCGCTAGCCCGATGGAAGGCGCGTCACACCGCAGAGATGACTCCACCGCGACCGCGTTCCCTTCCCTGGCCATAGAATAATAAAGCTAACGCCTTTATTAAAGGCGTAGCCTTATTATTCTATGCCCTGGCTTGCGCGACGCTAAAACCACCGTTAAACTAGGATTACGTGTCATCATTCTTGACTCTCTGCTCCGATTTTTACTCCAAGTAAAGGAAAATATCGACGGTGAAACTACCAAACCACGTATCTCGTTTGCGTTGTTTAAAAATCTACGCTCACATTTTATTTTTTTGAAGTAGACCAAATCAATATCATTCCTTGAAATTTTTGCAGAATTTTTTCCGCACGAAGAGGAAAAATCACAGAAATTTTCAAGACTGGACGTTAAGTAGTTTTTTATTTAAAAAATAAAGTAGGTATGACAGGAAGTCTGCGACGTCGCAAACCGAGATACGTGGTTTGGTAGTATTCACCGTCGATATGTGTCCTCATAGTCCAGGTGCCTGGTAAGTCTACCTGGAATTTTGGGTGCACAGCGATTTTTTTGACTTACCTTGTGTTTTTTGGGTCGCTGAATCCGAATCTGAAGTTTCCTACCGGGTATCTGGTGAGCATTTTCCGCTATTTTGAAAAAATGGCCCAAAAATACCTTTTTATGCGGTTTTTTTGATATGGCGGCTACGCATAAGAAAAAGTCCCGGATTTAGTTAATGTTTAGAATAGCTGACAATATTTGGAAGAAAATGGTAAATGAATATGCTAGGTTTGCTCAAAAATTGAGGAACCTCGGATCTCGGAACTTTGGAACGCTTCGGAACTTGGCTGACCGCGGCGAGCCGGATCGCGCGTTCACGGGTGCGCCGCGAAAACGTGAATGGGCGTCATGTTCACGATGCTGAATCTTCCTCAATTTTTAAGCAAACCTAGCATATTCATTTACCATTTTCTTCCAAATTCTGTCAGCTATTCAAAACATTAACTGAAACCGGGACTTTTTCTCATGCGTAGCCGCTGTATAAAAAAAAACTGCAAAAAAAGGCCTTTTTAGGCCATTTTTTCAAAAAGGCGGAAAATACTCACCATCTACGCAGTAGGAAACTTTAGATTCGGATTCAGTGACCCAAAAAACATAAAATAAGCCAAAAAATCGCTGTGTACCCAAAATTCCAGGTAGCCTCATTTTTAGCTACCAGGCGCCTGGATTATCATTGTAACGATTCAGGAACTCGGATGATATTCAATTTGTTTGGTTACATAAAATGAAAATAGAATGAACGAAAATATAGCTTCGAAATTTTCGATGCTTACATTTGAGATCATTTTAAGAAACTTCGTGGGAAAAGCTGTGTGTAGCTTCTTGAAAACAGTATTCAAAAATAAAACAAAAAACTTGGTACATAACGTAACAATCGGAGATGAATATGCTTTCTTTCACATGCATCCGTCGGTTTTTAAATCTATTCATCTCTTAAATAACTTGAATGTAGTTGTTCTACTATGTTTTACATGGTTTTTCAGAGTGGTTGGTGGCCACAGGACTCTAGTGCATTTATATTCGTGCTCGGTGGATGTCCGTATCGACGGTGTAAGTCCGCGATCACATCTCGTTTGCTGTGTCTAAAAATCTCCGCCTTCTTGATATTTTTTTTAAAGGAGAACAAATTGATATCATTCCTTGAAGTTTTTGCAGAATTTTCTTCGCACAGAGAAGAAAAATCACGGCAGTTATAGAAATTGCCGTTGAGTAGTTTTCCGTTTAAAAAATAAAGTAAGTATATGACAGGAAGTCTGCAACGTCGCAAACCAAGTTATGTGATTGCCGACTTAAACCGCCGATATAATGGATTTGCACAATAGAGAATTTGCAGGTGGCTGAAATTTGATGAAATTCGTGCTTAAGTGGAAGCTACTGAGTGAACTGAATAAGAGGATACCCTTGGTTCACGAATTGAACAATTATTGGAGAAGATACGACAAAATAGTCTAATCTGCTGAAATGCATGTGGTGGAGAGCAATCATTAGACATTGAATGAAAACCAAAAGTACTAGATCTTTAAGGAATAGTTGCTCGAATATCAGGATTAAGTGACCAATTCCCATTCTTCGTGACAAAGAGAGCTAGTGGGTGAAGATATTCTGAATTGTTCATATCTCATTAACAGTAATTAGATTAGCTTGGTTTAAAAATTCACCAGGAGTTTATCCAAATGAAGATGGGTTGATATGAAAAAATTAGTCAAATTATGAGATTCTTACATTGCAGTTGATAAGATTAGTGCATGACAGATGATCTGAGATTCCACAAAAGAACTGATTTCAAGGTTCAAAAATTCAGATACGACCTTGTAATTCAAGAAAAGTTACTAGTGTTGAGTGCTCCTTCCGCGTGAAATACTTTGTATAACTTGGCATGTGCATACACTAAACTTTCAATAGCAATCTATATGCACCTGGTTTGGTTGCTGATCCATGCTGATAAACATTGCAATTAAATTTTGGAGGAATAATTATAAGACAATGGTTTCTTTTCAGACTATTGTTCATTTTATTGAACCTTCATGAGATGTAACAAAGGCCCTGATTGGGCTAGACAATTCCTTTCAAAGAACAAGTCTAGAAAAAATTACTTTTACATTGATTTCATGGCTTTTCATTTCCTAGATGTGTACACACATTTGTTAAAAACAGTTTCCGAAAAAAGGACTTGAATGGAATTCATAAATTAAGGTAAGACTAAAAATCTTATAAATAATAAAAATATTAATAAAAATCTTAATAAAATAGCGCTTTTGTTCTTTCTACAATAAATAACAAAATGGAAGTTATAATGGAAAAAAGAAAAATGGAATGAAATCTTTGAGTAATCTTTTCAAGTCTTTAAACAGGTAGAAGTAGAGATAGAAATGATAAATAAAAAATAAATAAAAAAGATGAAGGCAGTTTAGAAAATACACGTGGGAGGAGAAAAATAAAAATAGGGAGGAGGGAGGGGACGAGATGATAATAAACAATTGAAAAAATCACTAAAACATATAATACAAAAGTGACTCGCGATGAATAGCATCTGCGTCTAGTGGTCTTAGTGTCACTAACAAAACACTCGAGATGGTGGTATGGACCAAGCGTGGGAATCGATAACCGAAATACACAATAATACAATAACTTAGAAACATTTCCTGTGAACAATGGATGGGCCGGATTCGTCGTACTCCTGTTTTGAGATCCACATCTGTTGGAAGGTGGAGAGGGAGGCCAAGATGGAACCACCGATCCATACGGAGTATTTCCTTTCGGGTGGGGCAATGATTTTGATTTTCATGGTAGATGGTGCAAGAGCCGTGATTTCCTTTTGCATCCTGTCGGCGATTCCTGGGTACATGGTGGTACCTCCTGAGAGAACAGTGTTGGCATACAGGTCCTTACGGATATCAACATCACACTTCATTATTGAGTTGTAAGTAGTTTCGTGGATACCGCATGCTTCCATACCTAAGAACGATGGCTGGAACAGGGCTTCTGGGCAACGGAACCTTTCATTTCCGATTGTGATAACTTGACCATCGGGCAATTCGTAGGATTTTTCTAGGGAGCTGGAGGAGGCAGCAGTGGCCATTTCTTGTTCAAAGTCTAATGCTACATAACATAATTTTTCTTTGATATCACGGACAATTTCTCTTTCAGCTGTGGTTGTGAAACTGTATCCTCTTTCTGTGAGAATTTTCATGAGGTAGTCGGTCAAGTCGCGACCAGCCAAGTCCAAACGAAGGATAGCATGAGGTAAAGCATAACCTGTTGACAAAAAATGACCAAGTATATTAGTAAGAGCTTACACTCAATCAAATTTAAATTAATATGATTCCTGGAAAACATAATTTTTCCAATTATCTTGCGAAAGACAACTAAATTCGGACAAGAGGAATCTGAGAAAATGGCCAATTACTGGGAAGGCATAAAATTGCATACAAGAATTAATTAACAATTTTGCTCAGAGACCATATTTAAACAGGGGCATTTGGCTCAGATTGCAAATAAAAGCTTCTATTAACTTGGGAGAAAATCATAAATTTTCCTGAGAAATCGTGATTTTTCAAAGGAAATTTGACAATGTTTAATGTTTCACACAGCGTTCCTTTTATGCACAGCAGCATTGGCAACTGGGACCAGTACATGCGCTTGAAGGCCTTTGATAAATTTCATCAAGCGCTTTGGATTATTTATTGAGCCCCTTCTCACCTCCTGCTGCAACCATTGGTACAGCAGCCCTACCATTCACAGAGGTAGGTTCTAGTCAAGCTCTAAAGCGGCAAAAATGGTGAGGTGGTTAACGCATCCTTTTTAACAGTTCAAAACCCCATCTAAAAAATAGTTAACATTCCTCACACCACAATAGTGCTTAGAACCGTACCACCCACCAGAGTGGTCACTATCTTTGGACATATCTCTGTCAGCTTGATAGTACCATCCAGGACACTTGAGAAAAAAACTGTATTGACCCTAGGCCATGTTTAGCAAGGAGAGAGTGAAAGATTTCAGGATTTTGTTCATTTACCGTTTATTCTGCATTACGTTTCAAGTTTTACAAATTGGATTTCTGGCTACTTACATTACTACTTATTAAAGTTTTCTCTTATCAACACTATTGGAGGAAGTGTCAAAAAGTATTTTAAATTTTGAAATAAAAGAATTGAGGCACTGGATGCGAAAAGGTTTTCTTGGTTGCAGTGTTTCAGAGTCTCTTCTAATATTTCTTTCATAGTAAAGAAAGTGAATGCATCCATTTCACTACAAATTTTACTGAATATTCCTTATGTTTCTACAATTTCCTATGGAGATAATTCTGGAAAAGTCACCCATTAAATTCTTCTTCAAGGGATTAATTAGCAACTGAGATTCGGAAACACCGCAATCGAGAAGTGCCTTTTTCACATGCAGTGCCTCAATTAGGAACGTAATATTGCTGGTGTGTGAAACAAGAAGTTATTAAAAAGTTGACAGGCCAAAAACTAATTTTCCTGGATAATCGTAGGACAGGGTTCCCTCCCCCCCCCCCTCTTCAAGTACACTGCCTGTCATAAACTTACACCAAAATTTCCACTTATCAAGATTCAAGGCAAGTCAAAAGGCATGCAACAATTGTTCACACATTCTTGGATGGCACTAAGCTAAGGGGTAAAAGAACATGAAAAGCCTTACGTACCTTCATAGATTGGGACTGTGTGGGAAACACCATCTCCAGAGTCAAGCACGATACCGGTGGTACGACCAGAAGCGTACAGAGAGAGGACAGCTTGGATAGCAACGTACATGGCGGGTGTGTTGAATGTTTCAAACATGATCTGAAATTGAAAAGGTATTAATTTAGTTACTGGCTTCTCTAAATTTTTATTTCATTAAAAAAAAGTATGAGTAACAGATTCAACATGCTTCACACTTATTTCTCATTTTCATCCTAAGCGTCAGAGGTCATTAGAAAGATGACATAGGTAATTAGTAGTGAATGAATACATAAACAAGATAAGACTCCCTGCTCACTCGGATTTTCATTNGGGGGGGGGGGGGGGGAGGGCGAGATCTTCAATCAGGCATCAGTCAGTTGTTTCCGTTTGGTGGTCTTGGTCTTATAATTGATGAGCACACGCTTGAAGACTTCCTGACTTACAACTTGACTCGAGAGAGAGTCTAATGAATACTAATATAAAGTGATGTCCATTGCCTCTCAACAGCAAACCTCAGTTTTCACTCTGTACAAAACTACGAGGAACTCAATTATTTCCTTCTAAAATACGAGGAAGAAAATGATGCCCGACTAATTATTTTTCAACACACCTAGATTTTAAATAAAAAATGAAAAGATGCTGGGGAGGTTTTCTTTAATTTGAATAACACCAATGAACCAGGGGCCTCAAGATAACAGGAACGAAAAGTTTTTTCCCACAGTTAACCAACAACAAACAGAAAATGACAAAGTTTTCTAGAGTTTTATATTTTAACTTCCCTCCCCCCTGACTTTTCCTACCAAAAATTTCACTCCCATCTTTCCTATCATACATACAAACTTAGGAGAAAATTTCCACTTCTGGAGATTCTTTTGGAAGAGGCAATCCCAAGTTGTTCGTGAGGTACTGAGAGAAGGTAGTGCTTGACATCCTACTTACAAAAATTATCTCCTTCTCCTAGGCCTCAGAAATTCTTGGCCTTTCCCAGTTTTCCAGATTGCAGGAAACTCCAAGGTTACCTCCTAAAACCTGAAGATTCGATACCAAAGTGTGGGGAGGGGCCTTTGAAATGGAGTTCAGCTTACCTGGGTCATCTTTTCTCTGTTGGCCTTGGGGTTAAGAGGGGCTTCCGTGAGGAGGACTGGGTGCTCTTCTGGGGCAACTCGGAGCTCATTGTAGAAAGTGTGATGCCAGATCTTTTCCATGTCATCCCAGTTTGTGACAATACCGTGTTCAATGGGGTATTTCAAGGTGAGGATACCTGTTGAAACAGATGCTATGCTTAATGGTTTCTGTGTCTGACAGTGACGCAGAATTAGCATTACTAAGAAAGCTGGTCAATGGTCTACCAATTATGAAGTGCCCCGGAGTCAGGACTGATAGATCATTTGGATTTGATGACAGTGGAGTTAGGGGCCTTGAGTTTAATATGGCCTCAATTTGAGTTACAATAGTTTGAGCCTCATCATACGTTAGCAAGCGGTTGGAGACAATTCTTCTGAAATGGTACTTAAAGCTCTTGATTGCTGCTTCATGGAGACCACCATGGTGAGGAGAGTATGGTGGCGAAAACCTCCATTTTATGCGCTCTACAGCTAGATAGTTCAATACCCTTGAATCTTTGAAAAATTGATCAAAACAACTTTGCACGTGAGAATCAGCTGCAACGAAGGTTTTAGCATTGTCGGAGAACACGAGACTGGGTATTCCTCTTCTGGAGATGAATCTTTTGAACGTATCTATAAAACCTGCAGCGGATAGGTCAGGACAAAGTTCTAAGTGCACTGCTTTTGTAACAAAACAGACGAACAGTGTCAGATATGCCTTTTTGTTTGACGTTTTAGCAGTACGTGACGATCTTAACTTAATTGGCCCAGCAAAATCGACACCTACTGATGTAAACGCTGGCGCAGGAACCACCCTTTCTAAAGGCAATTGACCCATCATTTGGGAGGACAGCTTGGGTTTAGCCCTTATACAGGTCATGCATCTTGCGGCAATTTTTTGTGCCATTTGCTTCCCTTGTAACGGCCAGAAACTCTGTCTAACACTTGCTAACAATGCTTGAGGCGCAGCGTGGCCTAATCGTTCATGTTTCTCACGAATTATAAGTTCCGTTAATTTATGACGTGCTGGCAATAGAACAGGATGTTTTTCTCCTAGAGGCAGATTAGAGTTCTTCAATCTTCCTCCAACTCTCAGGAGTCCTTTAGAGTCCATAAACGGATTTAAAGTTTTTATGCTGCTTGAGCCTCTCAGTTCACCTTGTGGGCTCATTAAATCATGGACATCTTGATTGAAAACTTGATGCTGAATTGATTTTGTACATACATCTTGAGCGTTATCCAATTCCTCTGGTAATAATATCTGAGATGTATTTTTTGTATTTTTTCGACCAACATTATTGACAAATCTTAAAACATATGCCACTATTCGCAACAGCTTTGACAGTGAAGAGACTCTATCCAGCAAGACATTTAAACTTGAGAAAAATGACTGAATTCCAAGAAAGACTCGTACAACTTTCTCTTCGCGTTGACCATTTGATGGAGGATTTATGGACTGCTTAGGCCAAAACCTTGAATCACTCGTAAGCCAGTGTGGGCCTGATTTCCAAAGATCAGACTTTTTAAGCATCGCTGAAGAAACACCTCTTGATATTAGATCAGCTGGATTTTCTTTGGTTGGAACATACTTCCAGGATGCATGTACTTCAGTTGTAAAGGCTTCGATTTCTGAGACACGATTGGCCACGAACGTCTGCCAGGTGTCTGGCGGTTTTTGCAACCAATACAGAACATCCATAGAATCTGACCATAAGAAAATTGCATGCGGATGATTGTTTACAGCCGACAACACTCTTTTCATTAATCTTGCCAATAAAAGTGCTGCTAATAGCTCTAATCGAGGTATCGTCAGCAACTTCAAAGGGGCAACTCGTGATTTTGAACAGAGTAATATAGATGTTGGCGAGTCAGCGTTGTAACTTACAACATAAATGCATGCTCCATATGCTCCTTTGGACGCATCACCAAATCCATGAAATACTAATTTTTTCGTTCTCCTGGAGATTTGCACATGTCTTGGAACTGAAAATTCTGTTAACATCGCTAGATCGTCTGCTAGTTCCATCCATTTCTTTTTAATAACATCAGGTACAGGTTCATCCCAATTTAGTTTTAGTTTCCATAAATCTTGAATCAGCATTTTCGCTCTTACCAGTATTGGGCCGACTATTCCTAGTGGATCGAATAATTTGGAGATTTCAGATAATAATATTCGCTTAGTGACCACACTAGTTGCTTTGTGTCTTGCTGAGAAACAGAAAATGTCTGTTGCCGGATGCCACTCTATCCCAAGCACTTTAATATCTCTGTTGTCGTTGAAATATAAAGGCTCGGTTTGCTGAGCTCCTGTCTTCAGAATTGTGGAGTCATTAGACGCCCATTTTCTTAAAAGGAAATTATTTGAGGATGTGACTGCTTCAACCTCTTTCTTAACTTGTCTTGCTTCTTCTACCGTATCTGCTCCCCCCAAAAAATCGTGGCAGTCCTGACTCCGGGGCACTTCATAATTGGTAGACCATTGACCAGCTTTCTTAGTAATGCTAATTCTGCGTCACTGTCAGACACGGAATTAGTCAAGAAGTATTCTCAGCTCGGAAGAACATTACAATCATTTTGGAACCGATGGTCCACAGAATATTTGCAAAAGTTGCAAGTTTTTCCAAAATGGTACAAGAAAGAGAAACGTATAATGCCTGGATCCCTTGTGCTAGTCAAGGTCAAGAACTTGCCCCCGCTGTGTTGGCCGTTTGCCAGAGTCCATAAAGTGCATCCAGGAAAAGATGGGATACCACGAGTGGTAACGCTTCGCACAAGCCAAGGAGACATGATTAGAGGAATAACGGAACTATGTGTCGTTCCTACTTTTGAGGATACCTCAAAGGGGGGAGTGTGTTGAAACAGATGCTATGCTAAATGGTCTCCGTGGCGACCACTTTTTCTCTTCTTCTTAACCTAGTATATATGAAAAAAAAGAAGTCCTGCTTGTGTGATTCTTCCAGTCATAATTTATCTTTAAAAAGGTATTATTAATAAAAATGTGTTGATTTATCTATAATATTGTTAACCTTTTTTCTGAGCTCAACAATACCTCTTTTGGATTGGGCTTCATCTCCAACGTAACTGTCTTTTTGTCCCATACCGACCATGACACCCTGTAGTAGGTAACAAAAAAAGATTCAGAGTTAGTTAAAAACAAGAGGGGAAAAAAAATGATTACAGAAGAAGTATCCCTCTAATTGAAGGATTCAACAGAGCAGTAAGTAAGATGAAATGAGATGGTTGGCAGTGCAGTTGGTGCTATGAACAGGTGAATGCAACTCCTGTTAATGATCTTGATTAAAACTTGACTTGATGAGACTTAGGGACCAGCAATGAGATTATAAAGCCACATGAATTCAACATAAATTATTCAAGTCTTGCGATCCTTGGAGACTTTTTCTGAGTCTCAAAAGAACTTCAAAGAAAAATGGATTTGCAAGGAATAAATAAATATTAGACTCAACAAAATATGAGTTTATTCCAGCTCTGCTATTTGATCAATTTAATTTTCATGTGAGGGGTTGTGCTACGCTTTCAAGTGTTTACACCTGAAAATTTGTGAAAACCTAACTTTCTGGAGAAGTCTTGTCGGATTAAGAGACCTTGAAAGCAATAATAATATGATATGATTTACATGGTAAATTATAGCGGTTGTTGTTGCATTGACAAAATGCCTGATCTAAGTTTCAGGAAAAATTATCTCTTTGGATCTCAAGATCATAGCTAGAGACGATCTATTCACTTTTTCTACCAAGAGGCTCTGTAAGTCCAATTGCAAATGAAGGCCTATGTGGACCCCATAATGTAAAAAGGATCATCTTCCATGGTCAGTTTGAGGAGCAGGAAAAGTGATTTAAAGAATATCAGTGAGCAGATGAGTGCTCCTGAAGATGAGCCAGGATATATTTGTTTCTTTTTGCATAGGACAGTACACATACAGGGTTATTCAAAAGTCACCCACCACTAGCAATGAGGGGAGTAGCCATTTAGATTTTCGAGTTGCACCCCGCCCCCCTGCCCCTGAGGGGGTCAAAAACTGGATAAACGTCACAAACCGCAAATCGATATCTTAATTAGAACTAAAGTTATGGCCAGTGGTTGGTGACTATTGAATAACCCAGTAAGCATTCATAAAGGGGAATATGGGTTCGAAGTTGTAAATTTACTGGGTTACTATGTTACCTGATGCCTGGGGCGACCGACGATGGAGGGGAAAACAGCTCGTGGAGCATCATCTCCAGCAAAACCAGCTTTGCACATACCAGATCCATTGTCGACAACGAGTGCTGCTACTTCTTCGTCACACATTTTGAAAGGTTGATAGGGAGATTACGTTAGAGAATCTGAAACAGAACAACCAAGCAGATGAGATTAAGGTTCCCCAATAGGCAAAGAATTGAGCAAATTTTTTCATGGATGGCTGAACTGTTGTGATTGAAACGAACAGGGTGAGATCTTCTATGCACTATGCACCTCAGGATTGAAACTCTTGATGATTTGAGTCATGGTTTCAGTGGGCTTACAGAATTGAGATTAAGGTACTCCAGTCTGATCGAGATAAAATCTTGTTTTCTTCAGGAAAAAAAAATTGTCCAAACCTGATGAGATGTAACAGAACTTCTTGTTTGGAAAAATTAAACCTTTTGGAATGCATTAAACAGTCGATTTTTCAGCTCATTTGTATCATTATGGTGAGACTTGTCATCTGCTTTGCAGATAGGACGAATCTTAACTATTGGTAATTATTGTGATACAAAAAAAAAGCTGCATAACTTGGCCTAAAGAAAACGAGGTAGGTACTTTAGGGACAAGATTTGATAGCTAAAATACAGTTCGCTGCTTTTTAGGGATGGCGATTGAAACAGCTTCAATCAGGCACAGAACCTAATACATCACAAAAATGCAAACTGATGATGACTGAAACTGTTTCTGAAGACCACCAACAGTTAAAAATTGACTCTGTCACAACTCGGTAATGACTGATTACTGCCATGGTAACTATTAAAATAGGGTCCCTTTGCAACAGAAGTACACTTGTCAACGAATGAGAAAGCACGAGGACAGGAAGGACCGAAAAAAGACAAAAAGCTACCCTTCATCTGAAATAGGAATGTTTCTAAAGTCAGAGATGACCTTCCTCATTTTCGAGAAAATATTTAAATGAGATGTGAATTGAGATGTAGAATCCAGAGATCAAGAATGAATACGTGAAAAGAATGCAAAAATGTCAAATCAAATCAAACAAGTTAAAAAAAGAGCTTCGATAGATGGACCCAATACAGGATAACGATTGCGTAAGTGCCTAACAAGAATGTTAATTGCGATGCTTCAAAATTGCTCCTATTATTTTTTTCAAAGAGGAACAAACAAACTTTTAAGCTTGAATACAGATTACATACGTTCTGCTGTCAGAGAAGAAAAATTAAGGAAGTACTTCACAAATTACTTTGACTAATCTATGACCAACCTATGACAGAAAGTCAGCAACATTGCCAGGATTGCAAATTTTACCCGATTTAAAATACCCTGACTTTTCAGAAAAATTCCCAGACCACAAGAGTCTGAACTTCATTAGCTTCTTACAAAGCAAAAGGAAAAAGGCTAATTAGTTAAAAAGCAGCGATACGAACTTTGAAGAACTGCAATTGGACCGAGTTCATCAGAAAGGAATTGAGCCACATTACTTACGTTGAAACTGAGAAAAAGAGGTTTGAAGTTTTATTCCTGCATGAGGCTCAATGCAGAGAATAGGTAAACTTTAACTCCTCTCTTCACAAGCTACTTTCTTTTTTTTGACTTCCAGTTTTTGACAGGAGAAAATATTCGGCTGAAGAGGAGCTCAAAAATATTCTTGACTCGATTTTGTCGAAAACGAGGGTTGGTTGGTTTCTCTCTGATAAACTCGGTTTAAATATTTGTATAAAGTTGAAACTTGCAAATAACCCGCAAACGGACATGAACGCGAGAGCAGTGCTAATTTCTGACTTCTGCAACTTATTTCAATGTTAATAGCAAAATACTTTAACAGAATACTTCTAGGCAGGGTGAATCGAGTCAAATTTACAAAAAGTCCCAGTGAAAAGGTCAGTAAGACCATCAAGTATACAATTGAGGTAAGACGCCTTTCGATCATCGCGCTAATCCTGATCAAGATGGACGATACAACTATTTTAACTCCTGAGCCGCTCAAATTGCGTCTATCGCGTTGAAGGCGAATTTGATTTCTCGCTTCCGTTCCCAATCCTTCAGACATGAGCGCGAGGGCGAGGCTGCATTCCAGATTTTGCAACTTATTTCCATATCAATATCGAAATTTTTGTTTGCGGGGCGTATCGAGAAGAAGAAATAAACACTGGACGTTCCGTTGATGAGCTCATTGAAAACACAGAGTTTGCAACGAAAGTCTCTCTTGCATCGGACGTCACTCTAAACTAAACTGCGTGCGTGATACAGCTACCCTGAGTTGCTCAAATTGCATTCGAAGGGTTGCATTGCAAGTTTAATCCGATTTCAAAATTACCCGACTTTCTCCGATTTGGAGGAAAATCCGGAGCTGAAATTCAGTGATAATTCCTCGACTTCTTACAACATAACAGAGACAGAAAGAGGTTAGTCTGAAAACGGCGATGCAGAATTTGAATTATCGCAGCTGTGTGTATGAAGTTGGAACTTGCAAACAAGTCAAGAGCGTCATTAATGTACAAGACGAATGAAAATATAGTAAATTATTCCATGCCTAAATATGAAAAATTGGAACAAATGACAGAAAAAAACCAAGAGCACAGAGGTGTTAACATTTGGAAAATCCCTCACGAAGTTGAACTAGCGCACTAATAGCGGGTCCAGTTCTCACGGCCCTCGCTTTACGAGAAAAAATTACCGATAACTTGGCAAGGCTGACCCGCGCGCGGCGCGATGCCGCAAGCCGGCATGGTTTCAGCTGTTGAGCCGAAGCCCTGGGAATTTCCCTGACTTCAGTGCAAAATTTCCCGTCTATTCCAGGATTTTTCTGACCCTTGCAGCCTTGATTTTGCATTTGCACTTTGGCCATCGATACCCTTTGCACAATACAATACTGCCGTGCGAGAAAGAACCCCATATGAGATTTCAGCCGCTGCCAAATTTCCTTTGACTAATCACGGGTTCTTGGGTAAATATATGAACATTTGTATTCCTATCTATCAGGGAATTTTGTCGGTAATTAGATAAAATATATCAAAAAATTTCATGGGAAAATATGATGAACTTTTCCCAGACTTTAATCTTTCCTATAAGGAAATTTGGAGGCAATTGATTGCTCATGTGGCGTTTTCAATGACGCGGAATTCACAATACAATAATGCCGTGCTAAGGAAAAACTGCTGTAGGAGATTTCCAAGTTTCCTTAGACAAATCACGAATTCTTGGGAAAATTTGTGAGCAAATTTCTTCCAATGTTTTCTGAGAATTTTGTCGGCGATTTGATAAAAAATATCGAAAAATTTCAGGGCAAAATGTGCTGAACTTTCATCAGGGTTTAATCTTTCCTGAAAGGAAATTCGGCGACAATTGAATGCTCATGCGGGGTTTTTCCATAACACGGCAGAATAGGACACTGGCTTGGCACAATTCATTACGCACTGAAATCCAGACGTCCCGAGGGTTCCAAGTCTCAACATCAGACACAGTTGTAATCCAGAGTGCAAAATCAAATTACGATCTGCGCATTGTGTCATCGGTCAGGAAATTTTAATCCATAACGACACCGAAAAAAAATTCAACCCTTGATTCATCTTTATGGAGGACGTTTACAAACGTTCCTCAAATTGGACTGCATTTTGCAATTTGGAACTATAAATTCTGGCTCATCTGAAAAAACACTTATGTGCATAGGGAAACTAATGGCACATACGTTGTTTTTAAACCGGGCCAGGATTTATATTTCCAAATTGCAAAATGCAGTCCAATTATTAAAAGTCAGGTGGAGAAGGAGGGGGGAGGAGGGAATGAGGAACCGGCAAGCGTGAAACGTTGGGCCGAATAGCACTTCTGGCACCTCTACCCTTGTTCAAGAGAATTCAACTGGCAGAAATTTTGATACCCAGCTAGTTAAACAGAATAACTATTTAAAATTGTCATTAAATTCAGGAAGTTAAGCGTTAGGTCATCGAAAAGTGCCAACTTATATCCACATTGAGTTAAATGTGAAAAGGAGATAGGAAGCTTCTAATCCCGCAGACATTCACAGCAAAAAAAAAAAAAAAACCCCCCACAAGAATAGAGGCCTTAATTTTCCTACAAACAAAATACTTCAGTTTTTCCTGAATCAAGAAGTTAGACCAAAAGCTAATACACGACTGGACAAGCTCACGAGATTCTCAAGAGATTTTAATCTCAGTTCAATTAAATTCATAGTTTGTGAAAGATGCAATACTTCTTTTAAGGGGAAAAAACAATAACTTGTGGCTCTCTCAAAGCTGATTAGTTAGGAAGGCACTGATAATAAGATAATAAGGTTTCATTTGAGACAGAGATTCAAATGTTCACACAAATGAAACTGGGGCAGAGAAGTTGAAGGAAATAGAATCAAACATTGGGGTGGGGACTTGTCAACATTAGAAACTGGCATCACCTTAGGACCATTTCTCTTTTATTCCGAAAGATGTTGATTTGTTAAGAACAGACCGTTAGAACTACTGTCACTAAAATTTGGGAGCCAATGGGTTATCAGTGAGTAACTTCGAAATCCTCCGCTGGTAACTAAGTTTTTTTTTCTTTAAGATCAACATTATTCCAGTTCAAGCGAAATCAGTCCAAATAATTAGGAGCAGTGAATGATATTCATACGAGGTGGCAAGAAATGCCTGGGAATAGGATGCAGAAATACATAATTCGGTACAAGGGAAAAAAGGATGGCATAGGTTTTAAAATGTTCAACTAATAAGTGAGGATTAACCTGAAAACTGATCATTCATAAAACCATGGAAAAGATGATGTCAAAAATTGAGGGGAGAAGGCACATGATCTACCTTGCCAGACCAAAGAAGAAAATTCGGCTCGTTGGGGTTTTCAAAGAGGAGAAAAACGGGCACCTGAACATTTTCACTATCCGTTGGTGTGAGCAACACGAATAAGTAGGGGAGAGTAGAAAAAATTTCTGTTATGGGTACACAGGCACACAAAAATTGTCAGAAGGGGGTCCATTTCGTGCTGGTGCCCTGATCATTCGGGCTTTGCAATTTGCTCTATGAACCCTCAATGGCATGAATTAATTCAGGGCTCAGACTCTAGGGAACACAAATGGCAAAGTTCAAATAACTTTTTACTTTTCGTGTAAACCCTCTGTACCTCGTTCAAAATTAGA